GAACCGATCCCAACCACTAGGAAAATTATATCAATATAAATGTAGAAAAGTACTACTGTTCCAAAATGGGAATTTGATGTTCTTCATACTTTGAAATAAAACAATCTGTATTGATTAAATTTTAATAGAATATTAACACTTTAAGCGTATACATCCACTTGCTGATTTGCATAAGGGACCACGTAAAAAACGCCCGCCATTGAGATCAACACACAAGCATGTACTTTTTACAAAAAAAAAAAAAAAAAATGCATGATACTATTGTCGAGGTATGTGTTCAAAGAGTATGCAAGTAACCAGAAGGGCTCGACAGTGCGTGTTCATTATCAAGAGGGTGAATGAAGGAAGATGTATAGATGAATGACCTTGAGTGAGAGGCGGATCAGCACCCAATCACTCTCGGTCTGCAATGTAAGAGATCAGCCTTAACACTCCGCAAGGAAGGTTACCACAACCGGAGGGATTTCACCAGGTAGGTGAAAGGCGAACTCGTTGTTCCTTGTAGTAAGAGAAGGAATCTGGTGCAGTTACACTATATAAGTATATTAAAACATTTGGGAGAAAAATCAACTTGGTCCACGAATACAGTTTCAATCGAGTAGCTCGTTTACGACATCGACACCAAGTGAAGGTACAATGAAGAGATTAAAATCATTTCAATATGTAACGGTTTGCCGTATTATTCTTGGTTATATTTAAGCATTTTAGAAATTCAGAGCTTCCTGAGTAGTCATATTTTAATGACATTTTCATTATATTATGTTTTATTTTCTTTCAAATTATGTAAGACGGCAATGATCCCTCTCATCGGATTCGTTTTGCGTACGCGCATGTCAATTTTTCTTCAATCCAAATTGCTACAGTACCAGGCTGAGGCAAAATGCAAGATGGCGCAAGATCCAATTTTGGCGCCCTCCCTTGTTGTAATAATAATAGTTTATGATTAAAATAGGACAGGTTTTACATGCCACTTATTTATTATTTATTTGCCTTTCATCGATATTTTATCACAGATACGGCCGCTCCATTCGCTCTATGGTAGAGCCGACCCTTTTAATGAGAAATGAGTTTATTTGCTAAGGGGCCCACCAAGGGAAGCAATAAACCTTCTTTGTAGCCTAAGGAGGGTGTCATGTAAAGAGGATTCAACTTCAAGGGTGCCAATAAACCCACGATATAATAAGGTTTCATCACACCATTCATCAGGCCGAGTCAGCGTACTAATAGCGACACCTACCTGGCCAATTATAGGGTATCCAATGTCGAAATGTTTACCGTGAGTTATAAAATGTTGTAAACAAAATTTATATGTTTTTATTTTTATTTTGTTTGTTTTTTAATAAATAGTAAAATCACTTATAACTACGGATACTCCATAAACCCAGTTCTGAGCCTATAGCGTCCTTAATCGACAAACGAGTGCCTCCAAAGAGAAGTCATTTTAGGGGCTCATCCTTCCCCAATAAATTTTAAATCTGTCCGGCCTCATAAAATATTGTATATATAATAATAATAATAAAGCCTGTTCATACAAGTTTTACAACTTGTTGGCCTCTCCTAATTAAGGGGTTATTATGGTCTAACTTCCCGAGGGGACCAACCGTATTGGGAAGTAGGGGATTCTATCCTATGATCTTAGCTTTACCATTATAGCACGCTAACCACTCTGCTATACCGGACCTACGTTGTATATAACATGTATAAAATGAGAAAAACAATTACCGTTAAAAAAGAGAGTTCATTACATAGTTGGATGAGTGGGTTTAAAACAGATAATAAATTCTGAGTAAGAAGACGGTCCAGGGTGGCGGTCATAAAAACACTAATATAGAAACAAACTATTCTATTTAAAGCCGACGTTTCGATAATTAAATAAAATAGTTTGTTACGACTTTAGTATTTTTATGACCGCCACCTCGACCATCTCTTAACTCAATAATACACCACGGTCAACAATCAAGTATTCAGATAATAAATACGTTGAACTTGTAAAATTTTAAAAAGTTTAAACCAAAAGTGTAACTCAAAACTGAAGTGAAAGGGCCATTTTCTAAATGTCATGTATTTTATTTCTCATGTGTCCTTTTTACTTGTGTCCTTTTTCCTACCTATACTAGGTAAGGAAAGTATTGCCATATCAAAATTTCTGATATGCTGTTTTCTACTGATCTATACGTTTCAGAGCCCCTTGAGTTCAAAAAACACATTTTTAACCATTGGTCTGTCAGTCTGTCTGTGCCAAGATTTTCTCAGGAACTATTGAACCGATTTTGTTAGTACTTTTTTTTATTTATTTTTTTTTTTTTGTAAGGTTTTGACTACTGATGCCTGTGACAGAAATTGGGTGCTCCATGCGCAATAGCTGCTGCGCAATAAATGAAAAACATTTTTTTCTATAGACTGTAGTGCGAAAACGGCTCTAACGATTTTAATGAAACTTTCCTATAATGTTCTAATGTTCTAATAATAACTTTCGAACGTGCACTAATTTCCGAAAAAAATCAGGAAAAAAAGTTATAATTAAAAGAAAAATGTTTTGGGTCATAACTCGCATAGTATATATTCAATGGTAAAATTTATAATAACACTTTTGAAAGGTGATTAAATTATCAACAAAACGAAATAGAAATAATCGGAATCGAACCAGTATTAGCGATGATACAGCGTATTCTATTTTCTATTGCAATCGTGACAAATTTCCGATATGCGGTTTTCGACGGATCTATGCATTTCAGAGCCCTTTGAGTCCGAAAAACACATTTTTAGCTATTGCTCTGACTGTATGTCTGTGCCTTTCTGTGAATTTCTCGTTAAGTAGTGAACCGAGTTTGTTACTTCTTTTTTTATTTTGTTTAAAATCGTTCATTTAGGACCACTGTTAACGAAGTTACAGCTATTCAATTTCCAATGTAAGATTACGGGTTTATATCCTGGTGTCAGAAAGGAGTGAATGAGAGAGAAAAAAGATAACTAAGTGAAAGTATGAAAAACTATTTTTTCTACTTTTAACAGACATTATTGTGTGACAAAATTAGGCTATGACAAAAAAATTTTGATCAGCAATATTAGAGGGTATTGAAATGTTTACACCTTATCTAGCTTAAGCCGGTTTACATTGCTTTAGTTTATCAAATAAATCGTACTCAAATCTTTTTCTTTTTCAGGAAATTTAATCTAATTCAATTTTTTTTTGGTTTCTTAATGGACATATGTAAAGATATAAAAACTTTTCTGAAATATGTAGGAAAGTCGTGTGAGTGGACAAACCAGAGTTTTAGTTATTTGTTTTTATTTGAAAAATGTTGAAATACTAACTACAACCAATCTTTCGCTGTAGAATAATTTCTCAGAATATTTTTGTTTATATTTCTCGCCATTCTATTATAATTATTTTCTAGGTTAGAGAGAGAATAGCTAAAGACTTTCCACAAGGTCGAGTGTTTTAAAGCATTGCTTGGGTGAGTTGAAATTTATTTCGAGGCGATCCACAGAATAAATCTACACAGTCCTACACTGGTGAGAAAAGACTTGGTTGTGCCTCTCTAAGTCACCTTCCTTACCCCCATGTGCCAGAAATGATGAGGAAGGTAGAGATGAACAGAAAAAAAGTTATAAATGAATGAATTAAAAATAATTTTATTCCGGGAGTAGAGTACCCTTTGAGCAACAGCAGGGTTAAAAAAATACTACGAAAAAATATAATAAAATGCCTTTTATCAATTAACTGTAACTATATTACTTAAAAATTCTTACTTAAAATTCAAAAATTCTTGCGGAAGTTTGAATGCAAAGGAGGTGGTGGAAAAAGAGTTGTTTGAAGGAATTCGTGGACGTGGTTTGGCGTATGGAGATAGGTAAGGAGCTCCAAACGGAGGTAGCACGAGTGACGAAGGATTTTCTGAATAAAGTGGTTTTATAGGAGGGGATATATAGACCTATAGGCTGAGATCTGGTATTAAGAGAGTAGATAGAGGAACCTTGAGCGAAGAGTTCTAGGATGTAGGGAGGATTGGTTCATAGGATTTGGAAAAGGAAAAAAACTAAGTTATCGAAGCCGTTATTGGTTAGCGGTGTGGTATAGTCCGTTCTTGCTTCCCTACTACATAACAACGTAAAACAAAAAGAATATCAGTACTTTTCATTAGAAAATATTTATTCTGGCAGAATAAATAATCTTTGGTTTGTACCAATTTACATATATCAATTTATCATTTGTTTAGTTTTTAACACGAGATTTTTATCTCTATTTTAATGGTCATTTACTTTGAAATTATTTTGATTTTTACTCCAAGATAATCAAGAGGTATTGCCATAATGATAACGTTATACTATTAGTCCGTGGTACAGACCTCTTTTTATCGAATTACTAACATCCGCCTGAAACTTCGTAGATAGTTTCATCTCATCGTAACCTACAACTATTTTATTTACGAAAATTCTTGGAATTGGGGCGTTTTCAATCTGGAGGGGGGCAAACTTTGTCTATTTAATAGGGTACTAAAAACTCGTAAATACATATTTGCTTTCTACATGGATCGGAAGATAATTTGATCACAAAATCGAGAAAAAAAATGGTTTTCAAATATATTGAGCCGTTTGGCGTGACCTACACCCCCAAATGTTCAAAATAACGAGGTTATATAGGACAAGCGGTCCAATATTTTTGTAGGCCATTTTTTAAAATCTATTTTGTGATCAAAATATCTTACGATCCAATTAGAAAGCAAATGTATATTTACCAGTTTTTAGTGCCTAATTAAATAGACAAAGTTTTCCCCCCTCCAGATTGAAATCGCCCCAATTCCAAGAATTTTTTTAGATAAATAGTTTTAGGTTGCGATGAGATGAAACTATTTACGAAGATTCAGGAGGATGTTAATAATTCGATAAAAAGGGGTCTGTACCACGGAATATATTCTACATAAGATTTTATGATATTTATATTATTTAGTATGAAAACTTCTATATAATAACTTAACCTATTTTAGTAAAACCACTGGGTAGCGAATTTCATTTAATTTAAATCACATGATCAAAACACACACAATACAAAAAAATACAATACCGTCACAAAAGACTTTCTTGTTGTAAAAGAAATCAGAAAAGAAAGAAAAAGAAATTGAGGCTTACGCTGAAAGTCCTGAACGTTTTCTCAAAAGTTTATTCATTAAATTATCAAGATAACCACTGTCTGCAGCTGGGACATCAAGCGCCTCACAGACCATTAAACATAGAAGACTAAACAAAATAGTAAGTAACCATCAAGTTATAGATTCGATCATTTTTAAAACCAAGTGATTTTTCTTTTATTTTTAATGTCCTAAATAAGGACATTAGTAACAGTGATATTACAGATTCAAAACGATGTAAACAAAACAGTTTGTCCAGCATCGAAAATTATTACTGTTTATTGTTGTCAATTATCAATGAATAATTCAAATTAAAAAAAAAAATAGGGCCTACGATACAACTTTATAGCTGTTAAAAGGCTGAATCTGAGATATTAGTCTTAAAAGTGAACAATTTAATTTAGAAGAGAAATTTTATTAAAAGGCCTATAAAAAGCTCACAAATAGATAAAAATTAAGTTAAAAAATCAAGAAGTAATAATCCTTTCTCGTATTTGTAAAAGGATTGTTGCCCTTGCTGAGAAATTAAGTATGTAAGGGCTGTGAAAGTTTCCCTTCCAAGGCTTTATTGGTTTACTCACAGGGCTGTTTTTTAATGTTCGCTCAAGCAATTAAAGGGACTACTTTTTAATCTCAAGCATTTAAGTCAATTTTTTAATCCTACTCCGGAAAAAGAACCGATGTATAAAAAACTTTTTTATTATGTAAATATGGTGAATATATATTTTTTTAAATACTTTAGAATTCGATAAAATTAATTTTACGGTAAAAGGACACACTTGAAAAAAAAAACCGACACTAACGCATTTGTTTTAGAAACTAGAGAACAAATAACCGTTTAAAAACAAATTCTTATGTTTGTCACAAAAGTCGTCCATTGCTTTTAAATATTTAATTCTACCTGGTTTTGCATTCATTATAAAGTTAACCAGTTCGATTTTAATAAGAGGACATATCAAATGCATTATGTATTGCAGCAATAAAGTAAATACTTTAAAATAATAAAATATAAAATCAAAATAATTATTTTACTTAGGACTCACGTTCGGCTGGAGGATGATCTGGAGCCACACATTAAAGGCAAACCTATTACCCTAAACAATTAACTAAGGTTTTTGTATTCTTTCCGACACACAAAGATTTAGTTAAAAAAAGAACATAATTGAACAGTTATTTTCTGAAACCCATATGGACTCTTTACAAATCTACGGAATAGCTAAAAAACTCCGATAAGACTCATCACGCGTTTACTATGGTATGTCAGTAACAAAACATTAATACTTCCTTAAATTTTCCCATGATACAAGATAACATTCCGACATAAAACATTTTCATGACAAACTTCAAGAACTTAGCAACTTATATAAAACGTATTCACCAAACAATAATTATGCTCCTGAAAAAAACACGAAGGTGGTCAAGAGATATTCGGAATTAATCATTTGTTTTTATTTGAAATTGGGAGAAGGTGTCGATGATTATCTACTTTCTTCATGCTTGACAAGTCAATTGTATTAATTAACATTACATGATGAAAGGTGTAGATATAAAAATAAAAAATGTGATTTAAAAAGTGATTTTTACTGCTGTTTTCTTTATCAGATTTTATTGTTAAATTGGACAATTAAAAATGGGTTTTCATCGGAAAAACGCTATTTTTTTTTTAAATGTCTGACAAGTAGGTCGGGATAGTTATACTATCATTATTTTTGGGCAAATAAAAAGCCTGTACCACTAACAACCCAAGAAGGGTTTTAGGTTCAGTAGAATGTGAGGAAGTACTGTTATAAGGCAGGTAGGTGACCGGCCAATATTACGCTTAACCGCCAGGTTTTCACCCTTAATTAATTATTTCATTTAGAGGCGCCCACTTTATAGAGGCTGGATTTGCCTCAGGAGGGTCTCCCGGCCCCAGGGTCAACCCACGGCTGATGAAAAATTACTAGTCATCAGTCGGACTCGAACCTGGGACCTTCAGCTATGGAAGTAAGTGCTCACCCACTGAGCTACCCCACTCCCGTTTTGAGTAAATAAGGGCAAACAAATTTAATTTTTTTAATTTGACATTAAAATTTTAGTAAAAAAATTGTTCCTCTCTTTAACACATAGAGAATTGATTTTTACATTGATAGAATCTATGGTCATGAGGCAAAGCCAGAGGTGCCCAGAAGAGGGTTGTGTGGCGCAAGATGTGCTATCAAACTTTTTGAGGGAAAAATATTTTGATGGGTTTTTAAATTTTTAAGGGAAACATCTTTTGATGTTTTTTTTTAATTTTTTTTGGGGGGGGGGCACATTTAAACTGGGTTATGAATTTTTGGAATGAAAAGTTTTAGAATGAGAGACGAGGAGAAAACATGGAACAAACTGCAGAAAATATAATTGTGCATGATCTACGATTTTTGGAAATCTACTTTTCCTTGCTCTGTTTTTATAAAAAGGTGAGCAATAAAATATCTTAAGGGGAAGGGGGTAGGTTCATGAGTCATCCACGTTGGGGGGGGGGGAAGGAAGGATCTTGGGAAATCGTAAGTAAAGAAAGAGTGATTACTAATCAAGTAACGAATAAAACATATCCAATTTCAGAGCTTTAAGTTTTAAATTTCTTTTATTTTTTTTTGTGCCTTATAAATTTTGTTAACTATATTTCACAGTACTTAATAATTCCGCCGAAATTTAGGGAAACTCCTCTCCACTGCTCTTCACTAATTTAATTATACAAACCATCTTACATCCTGTTGTGTTAGTGTCCGTCCCATATGTTTGTTTATTGTTTAATTAATACAATTTCATTCAAATATTAACTAGCAACGTTATCAGAAACAGGAATATTTATGATTAAATCGATTTTGGAAAAGTGCGAGTGTACCTTTTGATATTCATGAAATGCAAATCATGTGCCTCGGGAAAGTCTCGTTTATCATGGCAGTCATTACTACTTGTCAATACTACCATATTGACTCGCCTGCCTAAACTTGAAGCCCGTTATCCTAAGTAATCTTCCCTGTTTGTTTGTCTCCAGTCCAAAATAGAAGCGTGTATTGATAATTCATTATGTAGAATTAACGATATTAAATCATCATTTATGATTTGAGTAATTAAGTTATCTATTATGAAAAGATGTTTCATATTTATTTTTAATTTTATATATTCCTAAAAAATGATATGTTCATCTATAAGGGTGAGATAACTTCTATTGGTATATGCTTCAGACACTTAAAATACCAATTATTTCATAAAAACAAAACTCGTACATTTCGCTTCCGTGAGCAACTTGAAAACATTCACAACATATGTCATCATACCTAATTAATAGTATAATACAAGAAGTCCATCGTTCATGAAATAAAAAATTTAAGGGCCAATGGATTCCAGGCCAAGTCGATCTGTATGGGATCATACTGGGACATCATACCAAAACTGAGATCACGAAGAGCAAAAACTACAAAATATTGGGAATAGCTACAGATATATCTGCTCAAAAAAAAAACCAAAAATTATAACTCTATCCAATCTCATGTTTTCTTTTTAGGCCCATCATTCACCAGCACTAGCAAAGGCGCCTATACAGGGAGAGAGGTGGAATATTTCCATATTTTATTGAAGGAGGCCAGGTACCTCCAATATTTTGCAGTCATTGACTTTAAAATAATGCACAAAAAATTCAATAAACCTTACAGACATTATTTATATAATATTATAAGTAATAAACAGGATTTGGAATCGATAATTATTTTGTCCTCAAAATCATGTAATGATTATTATAATTGATATTTAATTTTAAAACCTTGCCTGATTTATATATAAAAATTTTAATTTATCTTTGATTAAAAATAATGATTATTCACTGAATGATACGGTTTTACATAAGTAATAATATAAAAAAAATCACCTTCTACATACAATTAAATTAAATATTAATATGTATGTATGCGTTATTAATGTACACATTTTTTTACTACTATATTTATGAAATCACTTTAATTTTGTGTGCGGGGTACCTGCACTATATATATATATATATATATATATACATATATATATACATATATATATATATATATATATATATATATATATATATATATAAGTAAGTATATATTTCTTTTTTTTTTAATTTTTTTGGAATCCAAAATTTCTAATGAAATTATATATACTTATATTTCTAATGAGCAAATAAAGATGTTCTGGTGCTAACAGTTGACAACAATATTCTCCACCACAATTCCAGACTCAAAATTTATCGTAGAGATCACAAGAAATTTATATTTCTGATTTGAAAAAGTATTACTCAAGAATTATTATTATTGTTAACTGTAACATTTTTTTCATAAATAATAATCACGGTATGATTTTTATTACTTGTAATCAAAAATTAAAATCGCTCTTAATAAAAATCATAGAATGATTTCAAAACATTCCGTATAAAAATTTTGATCAGATTCGATTTTTATTTTTTTAATTATTGATTTCAAACCCTGGTAATAACTAATGAGCAAATCCTTTAGGGATGATGTTCTACCCTCCTCCGCTCCTAGAATGTATTTAACACTGTTATACTAATCCTCACCGCTCCATCCAATAATTACCATGTAAATACCATGTGGGAATGGCTAGATGGATATGCCTGGTAGTCAAGATTGAAAGGCAAATACCATTACACTATCCAATCTAATGTATTTCTGTGCCCAAGGTTCTACAGCACTCGTATAATGCTTAATAGAAAAGAAATACCTATACTAACTTGAATTATAAATTATTAATGCTCTAAATACAACTCCATCGAGGACCTATTACATATTATACAGAAATGCAGATAATTTTCAAACTATCATAAACTATAACAAGATACAGTATTTGGCTACAATTATCGTAAACAAAAAAATAAAATAAAATAAACAAACCTTTCTGAGAATATTTTGTTGGAAGTAAGTGTTTTGTAACAGCGTTGGTGATACATGTGAATTGGTGTAGCATTCATCACAAGTCAGAAAATATTTAATTTAATAAAATAGTATTTTCGGTATTCTAAAAATTATTGTTTTGCTCAACAACTGAAAACTGTTATGATAAGTCCAAGTTTACAAAATGATGTGGATGGATTATGCTACTACCTCCAAT